CGGCGCAGATGAAAGCAGCGAAAATCATCCTAGGATGCTCCAAGCGCACAAGTATTGCAGCCGCTTACAGACCAGGTAGATTTTGCTGCAGTGATGAAAATGATCGGAGTACCTATTTTTTAGTCGGTGGTCCTCAATAGCGGTAGGTAGTGACAATCGATTTCGGTGTCGCTATAGTCTAGAGGGCATTCCGCTATTGAGCTATTGAGGGTGCCGTCATTGAGGACCGCCGACTGTATTCAGGAACAAAAGTTCACCCGGGATTATTTTGACAGTCGGAGTCAATGACTCTGCGTGTTGGGTCGTGTTCGTACTGCCGATATGGCCACAACCCGGGCGAGAGATGGGCGGAAGCTTGCCGTCTTGGCGTGGTGGCGACGTTCGTGTGAAGGATGCATGTGTTGGCTGCAGCTGTCGTTGGAGACACAGCAACGACGCTGCTGCAGTTTTGCCGCTTGAAACTAGATAGGCGCGGGTGATCATGAGCCGCGGGTGACGACTCAAACCTTGCAGTAGTCTATCTGTGATGTTGTGCAACGTGCGAGACACGCTGCGTTCCAGGCAGTAACGCAGCAACCCAGTACGCGCAATTCAACTTACTTGCGGAATTATTCGAACGGACAATCCACGACCTTGTAGTCTACCCACTGCCGCCGGAAGGTTATTGAAAATATTTACAGCGTTCGACTCACCAACATAAACATGGCATGGTCTGCGTTGCGTGGACTTCCCAACGTTCATCGCGTATCGTTCACTCTGGGCAACGGATTTGTAACTGATCGACAGGATCGCCCATAGCCGCGCAGCACACGTCGGCCGTTCTCGAAGACTAGACATCTATCACCTTATGGCCCCCCCGCCCACTGGGGACGGCGGGGCCAGTGCTTCACCCTACAGTAATATTAGTCTACAGACAGAATGGTCGTCGTTGTCGGATCATGGATTGTGCGCACCTTCCTCGAACTGGCGACATATCAGATGTTGGCTGGGACCGCTACGGCACGGCTATGTCTTCAACGCACATGGGCTCACCAAACAGCCAACCACGTTCGTGAACACGCGGCCCGCAGTGACGTAGATACAGGATATGGTGTGGTGGTGGGTGGTTGTTTGTTTTTTTGTTTGTTTTTCTCCCATCATTGGACTCTGTCGTCTGCCCACGGGACTCGAACCCATGACCTGGCCCTTAGCAGGCTGCGAGGCTACCCACTAAACCACCGGGGCGACCGGTTCGTGGTGTGGTGGCGTGGTGGGGTTGGATCCCCCCCTTGTGGTTCGGGGAAAGAACAAGCGACAGCGCAAATCTGTGAGACAGAAGCGCTTTGTGCCATCCAGTCTCACGTGATCACGGGAGGGACACGTCTGTGGGACTGAAATACATTGTGCACCACGCTCACGTTCACCAATAGACTATACCCCTTCGCCTGAAACTCACCGATCTGGTGGTCGCCAAAAAAAAGGCCGAATCCTGACAGCGTGCTGCGTGGAGTCACCGACCAAGATAGCCGTGCCAGCAGCAGGTCTACAAGGATTCCGATGTTCGACCAGCAGGCAGTGGTGAACGGCAAACACGCAAGCCATGGTGTGCCCGAGCATGAAAATGGGAAACGGTCTGTGTGTTTGCATCTCCGTCTGTGCCATGGTCAGCAGTGGAGTGAAAAAGCGGGTTGGATCGCGCATGGATATTATTACCCGCCGGATCCATCCATCCAACCTTCTGCTCCTGTTGCTGTCGACATGTTTGAGACCGGCACCGCACCGATATGTCTGCCTTCGGAGCTCACTCGCTGGCCAGGTGGTCAATACTGTATACGTACGCGCATGTGCAGGCCTGCGGTGAGGTGGATACCATCGGTGAAAGATCGCCTTGGATCGCAGATGAACCCGGACATCGTTGTACTTCGAGAGTCGCTTCGTACATTACGGTCTGTGACTTGTCTCTGACTTCAGATTTCATCAGCAGCTTCACTATGTACGCGTACAACGCAGGAATTCCAGCATACCTTTCGATGTGTGACCGTCTCCGCCTCAACCCCATGAAAATCCAAGGCAAACTGCTACCAGGATCAGGGAAAGTCGTGGACGACAATCACATCCGCCCGCTTGTCGAGAGGTATGGATACAGTCCAGCCGTTGCGCATTTTGTTGGAAAAAACAAAACCACATCTGAAACGAGTTGGTGCAATTGTTGTGTCTCGTTGAACGAAATCCGGCAGC